TTTCTCTATTTATGTCAGTCTCCATCAGTTTTCGTTATTCTTTCATTCTTTGATTCCTTTCTGTTATCTCTGTGTTCATAAAACAACAAACCTGCTGCTGATACAACATACAAAATTCCTCTAAAATCCATTCAAACGTTTCTTGGACCCAATTACATTTATCCTTGTACGAGGCAAGTTGCCTCCCGCGGGACATTCTGCACCAAGTTGCCTCCCGCAGAAAAAGGTGGCATCAACTAGTTGCCGATTAATGTTTGCCTTCAATTTATCAATTTTTCATTATCAATCTGAACAAAAATACGAGTAACAGTGTTCCTTTTGCAGTTTTTTTCATTTCATAGGTAGTCATGCATTGAAAAGATTGCTGGGAACAAGATGCATTATGGGCACTTGTACAATCAAAAATATCTGAATTATTTCAAATTGTTTTTCTCTTCACAGATAATTTTTTCATCTTCTGATAAGAAACCTGTGCAATTTAAAAGTCTGTGCAGTCGATTCTCATGGTATTTAGTATAGAGCAAAATTTTTACCAAAAACGGCTTTCGTAAAGAATGTAAAATATTAGCGATGTATAAAAAAACGGAATTATATTTGTTTTTTGAATCTAATAAAATGAAAAAATAGAACGAGTGAATTAAGATCTTGAAAAGAAATCGTATTTGCAAATTTAGTTGACCAGGGAATGGAAATTTGTAACATTCCTTCCACAGAAATCCATAGAAAAGAGAACACCAACTTGCGAAAATAATTTGCCAATTTGCGTCAGTTTCTCTGGTCCTAGCCATTGTTATGTTAAGCAAGTAAAGTTTTATCCAAATCTTAGAGTTAATTTTAGTGAATAGGATGTGAAAAAATTTATGTGTATTTAGAAATTTCGCTTCACAAATAACGAATACATGAAACAATTATCTTAATGGAGAGAGCAAAGTTCATTTGTGAAGAATTTTAGCAAAGGTTCGATTTTTGTCGTCTTGTTTAGACATTCAAAGTATGGATCAGCAAATTAATAACTGTATGTTATGCATTCTTCTTACTAACTGGCAATTTAAAAAATTTCCATTTATTCTACTTATGTTTGAAAAGGCAATGCCACCAACAGTGATGACCAGACTTCTAGTTCTATCCATGTAGGAGGAATCTCAAATTTGAAATGCGATGAAATGAAGTTGATCAAATATCAAACAAATAATAACAATTGATGGTGCTAAATAGTTGAAGGACGAATACGTTGCAAGTGTATGTCGTTTTCCTTTTAATTTAGAACAGAAATTCTAATCTGGTCACTTGAAGCAATTTTGGGAAACATGGGTGGTTTTATGCATCCGTTTCTTGTGAAAAATGACAGCAAAGGAAGCAAAATTGTTGAATTCCCAAAGCTTACGTAAGTGTTCCTTGAGACTTTGACTAGGTAATGATAATTCATTATGTCTAAACGACTGCTACTTCCTTCTTAAGTGTGACCATCTCAAAAGGCCCAAGTGGTGTCCTCCACTCTGGTCGTCTACAAATTGTTAATCATGATAAATGAACGAATTTTGTTGAAATATCTAGCTAAAGTTGTTCTTGGTCAAATCGTTATTTAAAAGCTTTGTGTAGTTTTTCGTTTCTCGGGCCAGCGTTTATACTGAAAGCCAGATTATCTTAAAGTGACAAATGATTTTACAAAGCTTTGATTTAGCAGGACAAAGAAGATGATTAATAGAGGACCCAAACAATATACTACATTTTACCAAGATACTTTTGGTCTATCGCTGCCATTATTGTCCAAACAGGACCCGTGCCACTGATCCTCAACTTGGGGCAGGGGAGGGCTATCAATGTAAAGAAAATTTCCTCTTACCTCTATAACCCCCATTGTGGCATATATTTTGCTGATGCTGTTGCGCTTTTGTACTTTGGTTCAAATGCATTGTTGTAATATAAAAGTCTATCTATATGATTAATTTAAGTTGGTCTTATTTTCTTACTTAGTAAAAATGTGGGGAGGCCATTGCCCCCCGGCTCCTCTGTGGTGCGGGCCATTCTAAAAAGATAAATCAAAAAAAGCCTCCCTTTCGTTTCAGGCGTTAAAGGATGTATTATGGTAACGAAATTGCAAAATGAATCTTCTATATTAACTGCCCTTGACTTTTTGTAATTTTGTAATTATCAGAAAAGTTCATTTGAAATCCTGACTATAGTTACTTATTCGTTATGAAACGTATCAAAACGTGTTAAAAATTCATATGACAGCAGTTAGTCATTCTTAAGATGCCTACAGAAAATCGAAATAGAATGACAGTTACGAAAGAACTAGCAGAAGCTTGGAATTATTTTACAAATATCATTTACTGCAGCCTGCCACCTTACCCTTAGGTCGTTCCGGCGTCCCTGATACAATGTGATCACCCACTTCTTTTGTGACATTTGCAAAATTGTCGTAAAGCTATTGGTGTAATTCACATTTACAACAAATCAGATTTCGAGCAATCTGAATTGTTTGCTATTATATTAAGGCATTTTGAATAGTACAAACGTAACAGTAAGGTAGCTCGCTCTATGTAGAAAATTTTGATTTTCAAGAAGAAGATTATCTATGTAGGATACTAGGATGACAAAATCCAGAAACGTAGGAACAGTGGCAGAGCTAGCCACTGCAGAGTGGGAGGCTAATGGGCGTTGCCGGTGAGACCGCGCCCTTTTTGCGTCGTTTCAGTGCTTTGTATCAGGTTGATTTTCCTTAGAAAAATGATCATTTGTTCATGTATTTATTTTTCTTTTTTGGGACTAAAAGAACATGTTGATAGCAGTTTTTATTAACTGAAATGTACATATCCTTTTAAAATATTCATTATACATAAATACATCCACCCCTACTTAGCACTTCTTAATCAATTTCTAGAATAAATGTGTGGACCATGTTTTGAGGAAAGGGGGGAGTAATTACCCACCCATACCCCCATGACGCCGCCACTACGTAGGAGCCCGAGAGGCAAAAGGGTTTTTTGGTTCTCTTAGTTTTCGAAACAGATGTATAGCGCTTATTTGCCGCCTTAGGAGATGTCATCGCATAGCCAAAAATTTCATACTACATGGCTATGTACCTTGCCTTCAATGGAAAATTTGTACGTCTTTCTCCCCAAGTTTCTTAAACTGGATAACTTTATTCACCATTTTTTACTACAATTCTATATTACCGTGTGTTGGAGGTATTCATTGTCTTCTACAGGCGCAGTGATTTTCCATCGTTTCAAACAATCAGCTATTGTCCTCCTCTTTATGCAAACAATGGCTTGCCCTCGCAGCTAACTTCCCTTCGAAAAAGTTATGTTATCTTCAAGGTAGTTTTCACTTTATAGTCAATATTGATTAATGAAACAAATTTTTAAAGGAATGCAAAAGGCATAAAGTGAAGGCAAGTAGATACAGAGGCATTACCTTTCACGGTATCCTTTCACAGTATGCAGACTTAATTTATTTAATACTTCTCCTAAACAAGTTAGGTACCTTTTTTGAGTGGATCTCAAGTTAGGTCATGCAGCAAATACAATTAAAAGTTACTCTATCGTCCGAGAAACGAACTACATCTTTTACGGCGGAGTAGGAAGTTCCTGTAAGTTTTTCTTATCGTATTTTAGTAACTATTTGTAATATATTTTAGGCTGAAGGATTATTCTTTAAGCTAATGAAAAATTAAAACCAAAGCTAATGATTCTTGCACATGTGGCCAAAAAATGCCAACTACGATTTTTTGTTATAAAAAGTAGGAATAAAGCAATGTGCAAGATCATATATTATCTATTTTTAGTTTCTAAGCCAATTTCGTATTAATAATGCCATAATCTCTGCAAAGAGTCTCAGAGAATTTACGTATTTGCGCAAATTCAGCAACCCTCTCTTTCTCTTGGCTTTCTATATAAAATAAAGCAGGTGATTGGACAGCTATAAGAAATTGATGTACTTGTAAGGTTTCTTAAGCATGCTCTCCATATCATAGGAAAAGCATTTTATATACAATTAAATATGTTAGAAACAAGAAGTAGAACTTGAAATTTTTTAGAAAAAAAGGGAATCTTTTGTTATTTAGAAAGTTTACAATAATGGTTCCTGCTAGCGTTGCACTTGAAAATTTTGATTATCTAAAGTATTGATTCAGAATTGGATTTCTTGCCCAACGCGGCTTAAAGAATAATAATATGCAATTTGTTAATAATTTTTTGCCCTTTAAATCATTTAAAAAAATTTTTAGGTTGTTAAGTTTTATTGAAAACAATGCTGTTCGTCATATCTAAACCAAAACTTAGAAATCCTTAGTCATGTAACGATAACATACTGAAAAATGTACCCTCGTTATAAGAGAACAAGACTCTGAATTAGCTCTAGGAAAGCCCTTCCTATATTAAGCCTTATATTAAGAATTATTATGGTAAAATATCATACAAGGGAGACTTGCCAATAGCGGACATCTCCGAACACCGGACACCTCTATGAAACAGATACTTGCAAAAAACATATAACTATAAGCAGTTTCCTCCTTTTTTGTCAAAGATATGAACAAATTTTTTCCAGATAACGGACTTTTCCCTAGAACGGACACTACACCTGATTGCACAGGTGTCCGCCTTTTAGAGGTTGCATTGAATTTTTTACAGAAGGACCCACTAATCAATTACAGCCTCGGATGATGTATTGTGACGCGTTTTAGATCAGAGAATTTTTATGCGAATGGAGAAATTCACTGAAGAGTTAAAATGGTATATAGGAGAATGTTTTTTTCTGTTTTCACCACAGTTTAACTTTTCACCAAATTTGATAAACTTATTCGGACTTGTAAATTGTTTGCATTCCTGTCCACTAAGGTTTGGGCTCACGAATGATTCAAAAATACTCCCACAAAAAATAGAAATACTCCTGAACTGCATATATACCAAACTTGGGATTTTTCATTTCCCAACATCCACATTGCAGTGCTTTGATCTAATCATTTTACTTTTCAGATGACCAAAATACAATTCATGCTTTTATTGACTTGGACGCCTGCCAAAATTGATGACTTTTATTGCTATATTTAGGATAACCGGCTCACCGATCCCTTATATTTGGATAACTGCTTGACTCAAAGTAATACAAAGATAGTTTATTATTAGCATCCGATACATATTCTTGATATCTTTATGAGTTTCCAAAGTGGCTACCTCATATTCTTATAAATCTGTTCCTACGGACATAACAGTTTGTTTACCAATGGTTTCCGGGTTGTTACTCTAGGATTATGGCGGTAGTTGCCTTTCTCGACACCAAATTGTTTTGAAATCGCTTCTTTGATATCAATTTTCAACCTCACCACCGTAATATCCTCTTGAGAGCCCATGTGTGAGCAAATAAAAAGAAGCTTGTTATGTTTACTTGACATGATGTAGTTGAAATATCTTTGTGTACAGCTCTTCCTCTACATCAACAAGAACGGACAGCATTCGTAAACCTAATAAGTCTACGAAAGTCCTTAAAATTTTGACAAATCAACTTATGTTGATGATACTTACATTAAAATTCTTAAGAGTAAACAATCAAATGCGGTAGGCTCTATATATGTCGAGGGGTGGGGGAGCTGCAGCCCCCATCTATAAAAAATATCTGTTCTTTTTCCTCTATTAAAAAGGTCTAAATGGAAATCAAGGACACCGACTCCTCCCTCAAGTGCCAAATTTTCTGAATTTTGTTCCAAACGCTAGCACCGTCATTAAACATTTACATGACCGTATTTCTCGTAGTGACCACACCTTGTGATTCTCTTGCCGGAAACTAAATAGAATTGGAGATATTTCTACTATATTACTTCCATTAGTCGATTTAATTTATGAATTTGATGAAAACCAACGTGAAACTGCGTGCTTTGAGAACACAAGTAAACTGGCATTTAATAAAAAACACAAAAAAATTTTAAGATTTTCTGCACATAATTCCCAACTCTCTCCTTATTCTGCTCAGGCTGCAATTTTGCTTATATTGCACAATACGCTAAAGTCGTGTAGCACCGTTCATGATATTCTACGAGAAATGCAACAGAAATGCAAACTGTGCTGAAATATTAATCTCTGCAAGGGGGGTTTAAATGGCTCTTTTTTGTTATTAAGTTCAGCTTCATTCTTTAGAAAATTTAGAAACAGCAACATCAATTTAATATTTCCCATTTTTACTAATGCATCTTAGCATCCCATTTAAAACAAGCAAAATATATGCATACATGCATATTTTTATCGAAACTGAATTCGGGATTGATACCTTCTTGTTTACTTTATTGCCAAAAGTTGCCAAAAGATTTCTTCATTACCAATCACTAAAGAGCTACCATTTGAAAGCACAAAAACTTAACTAGGATAACATGGAGTAGAACACCCAGCCATTTGTAAGGAGTTCTTTATCTTTATCTTGTCTATACTAAAACTCTGGTGTCTTAATGTGGAAAAGATTATTTTTTGAAGAGGATTTTTTTAGAAATGACAAGCATGGCTTCTTAATAATTTGGTCATCGTAGGGCTCGTTTTCTTCAATGCAAATGTGTAACTGCAAAGGTAAGAATTTGTAGGGATGTCCAATTTGATACTTCAAAACTAATGCACCCATCGACCAACAAACAGCAGACTGACCAAGCATAATTTAACATTTCGTCATCAGCACAGAGACGAATGACTCCTCATAGAATCCCATTTTAACTTTCAATGATTGTTTACTTCTTGATAGAGTAAGTTAGATAAATAAAAATTCAAATATGATATTTCACGTATCAGTGGCTTAAGCATCATAAAGAAATTGCTGCTCCCGTAAAACGGAAATTTGCATAGTACGTCTCGGTATGCCTTGAACAGGAGCACAAGACTGAGTTTTCAGCAGAAAACGAAAAGATACTTTTTTTTCTTCATGACATATTAGATTTAAATATCTACTTATATAATACTGTACAATAAAAAATTAAGCAATAGCTTTTCAATATGGTAAGTGACACATGTGCTTTATACCTAACTTTTGTATTTTAAAATAATATGCACAGGTGTAAGGATTGCAGCCCTAGGAAAATGAAATTAACCTACTCTTGAAAAACTGGTGAACGATTCTCATAATATAGTTAACATAACATCACATAATAATAGAAAGATTCGGTAAACGTGTCACAACAATCTAAGATTGAGAAAGTAATTTTTCATTCATAGAATGTAAAATAAAGCATGCAAGAACTGCTTACCTATTTCAACCGACTCTATAAATTTCTAAAATCGCAATTCTACTTTTTAGCCAAAAAATTCTTCTTAGAGTGACCCACAGAATAGACATATAAGTAATTCATATTTAAATAAACATAAAATATGCTTGTGTTGTCTTTTGACTTTTTCAAAGCCAATTTTTAAAATATGTTAAATACATTGAAATACCTTATAAACAAAAAATTAACTTTTGGCAAACTAAGGTTCATCTGCACGTCAAAAGGTCCATTTATGTTACAAATCTTAACCTTGAAAGATATATTTTCTATTTCAATATAATTAGAAGGAATTTTATAAAGCGTTTCACATTATAGTCGAATAATTAGAATCATAAACCCTGCTTTCATCAACTGCACTCCAGTGTCCACTACTTTCAGTTGAGGTCTTGTAGTAAGGGTAAGAAGACGAACTATGTTGTTGGTATTGCAGTGATGAGCTTGGCTGATACGAGTAGGGAAAATGGTATTGAGGAGATGCTGGGGTTTGCTCTGAAGGTGAGCTACTGGAATACCCGTATGGATTAGAGTAAGTCGACATGGTCTGGCTCGGTGTGCTTGAAGAAGTCGAGTATGAACTGAATGGGTATGCGAAAGCCTGTCCACCTCTGAATGCAGCATTTTCAGTTGAAGGGGAGTACTGATCTGGCACTGGCCAGCCGTGGAAATGATTCATGTAGTTGAGATAACGTGGATCGGAATAATAGTAACCATTTTGGAACGGATAATGAGATGCCGTTCTGTACGGTCGCTTCATACGACGTCTTCTGCGATAATTACCGTCTTCAAACATATACTCACATGCTGGATCGAGAGCCCAGTAATTGCCCTTTCTTTCCCCACCGCCTTCTCTTGGTATCTTCAAAAAGCACTCGTTCAGCGAGAGATTGTGTCTGATTGAATTCTGCCATCCTTTCTTGTTCTTCTCGTAAAACGGAAATTTGTTTATAATGTATTGATAAATTTCACTCAAAGTCAATCTTTTTTCTTTTGAATCCTTGATGGCCATTGCTATCAGAGCAACATAAGAAAACGGTGGCTTTGCACTGGAATCTTTTTCACCATCAGGCCCTTCAGTAGACCCTTTACTGTTTTCTTGGTTGCTGTTATCATCATCGGGTGACGGGCTTGCCTCTTCTAACTTGACTTCATTCTTCTGTAAGTCTTTAGAATTTATGCTTTCGCTTCCAAAAGATTGTTGATCAAAATATGTGTTCATGACTATGCTGATATTTTCAAATGCTGTCTATTATTTTCGTACGCGAATGCCTGTTTACTTTCCCGTCCACCTGACGTGTAATCTCGCTTTGATCTAAGAAACTAACACCGCTGTATTACACATCATTTAAGTAGCATTCTGTCGACCCAGAAATTGCGCCCCTGTCAATTATCCATTCTTGTAGACGTTCAAAAGGAGGCTAGGGTACGGATCGGGGGATTATAGGATTATCTTTTGTCCTTGATGGGAAGAGGCCTTGCGGTCGTGAGTTTGATAACTGGGTGGGCAGTTTGTTTCAAAATATTCTCCAATCATCCAATTTCCTAGAACTTTCAAGGTGCACAGGCACTTACTGATAGAGTTATCGAAATTTATTGTATCAGGGAAAAGAAAGTTGTAGCAAGTAATTAAAACGACCAATTGCATTTATAACTGACTTTTGCTATGAAACTAATCTCTTTACTTTCAACCATGAAGCCGATTTCAAAAGAATATAAAATCAAACGAGGTTAATCAACATAGTCACTCCAAGCGTTTTATGCTAAGTAAAATGTTACTATTTTGTCTGGGTAGTATTTGACTGTGTTTGTTATTGCTCTGACAACATAATAAAAGCAATGTTACATGTCAAGTTGTCATGGGCATTGTTTTAAACCTTTTCTGTACATAGAATACCCATTAATCTAATTAAGCTTAATAATGATTTTTGATAATCCTTATAAAACTAAATAGGAAACATAACATATAAAATATAAGTCTTTAACAGGAGGATTGGAAAATAATGTGAAGGATAACATAATTCAAGTGATTGTAATGGTAAAGAAAATTGAATGTGAAACTTAAACTTTCTAATTTGCTTCGATCAAAAAAGCTGTAAACATAAAATACAAAACGTCGTTATGTGACCTTCAAAATGTTTATTTGACATTTTGATTTTTAAATAAAATGTGATGAATGTGAATAGTATATAGAAAAGTATGAAAATAAACATGAACCTTAGACATTACAACAGGGCAGTGGCATGCTCCGACAGGACATGAAAGGAGAATTAAAGCGTCTCTTCTCTCCACTAGCTTACAGGTCCAGCCTGACCCGACTGGTACCACCTGGCAGGGTTCCCTAGCTCAGGGCTACGAGCGATGGCCAACGGCTAACTCGGCGGGAGAACGGCAAGGAGGGCGGATGAGCTACGACTCCAGAGGTCAACGGCTTCGGGCGGAGGAACTCTTGGAAAGATGGATGGTGTCCCTTAAAAAACACTTTAGAGGTGGTTCTGGGGGCCCATCTCTACTATTAGCCCCTTAGTTTCATCTATGACCATGACAACAAACAAAAACTCAGATTTTGGGATAGTTGGAGGGTCATGGTATCTGATAGAATGGTCCCTGATGATGATGAGACATTACAAATCCAAGGCAAACGGTAGAAAAATTCCACACAACGTGTGATAGCACTAGTAATTGGCATGCAAATTAAAATTGTTTGTAATCGGAGACTATCCTTAATTTCTTACTTTTAAAAAATTCTAGGACATGCTGTTCTGGGAAAAGGAACGGGTTATGAAACTACTGGTACAGAGCAGACGCTACATTCAATGCCGATCACCCTACTGAGTAACTGCACTTGTAGTTTGAGCATCCCGTATCTGACAAAGGACCGTAAAAATACCTAGGAGATATGGCGCTTGTCCCTTGGTGCGAGATTTATTCCTAAAAATTTGATCCAATTCTCGCGATGGGGACACAAAAATAGGCTCCAGGAAAAGTCTTGCACCCTTAAACCGTTTGCTAAAAATAAATATTTAAAGGTAAAATCATGTTTATCTTCATTTGACACAAAACTACAATCTCAAACAACTAAGACACCATTTCACGAATAATTTGTAATGAAGACATGCTCAATAAAAAACATGGCTTGTTTCAACAGAATCGATGAGAAACTTCAGGAAATTTTTATGTTTTGGGACTTTCTTTACAAATTGATCTTAATTTGAAAAGTTTTATGGCTCATACCTCGATTTTCAAAACAATAATTCACAGATGTAACTTTTGCAGAGCCTAAAAACAGTTATAACCTTTAGTTTGTAGCAATATACTGTCGAGAATTGCTCTTTAAAAGTGATTATTTTGAAAAGTCTAAATGGAGCTCATGATTGGATCGCAGACAGAGATTGCTGGTGTTACTTTTATCAACTTTACGTATTTGTGAATATGAATGCCATGTTTTCTTTTTATATCTTTAAAACACTTTTTAAAGAAAGCTTTTATTCTTCATCGTATCTAATTTTTGCAAAGCAAATTTGAAATCCAACAGGGTTTTGCATTTTGTTAACTTTCTACAAGAGAAAATGCTCATCCTTCTGTACTAGAAGTCCTCAAGCAGTTCTTCCACAGCTTTATTTCTTTTTTTATTTGAAGATGGTACAAGCTCCAGCTATAGTTAAACTAATTGAAACCAACTAATTTGAATTAACAACGGATAATGTAATGTAAATCAAATATAACCGATGTTGCAAACGTATTTCTTGCAAAGATCACAAGTACAATTGAATGATGAAAATTCTGATATTTTTTGCTCGAATATTTGTAAAGTAAGGGAAATATTTTATTTCATTTGGAACTTTTTTCCTTATTTGGCTACATCTGTATGATACGGTATTTAATCTATACATGTTGCAACGTGGCTCCGCTGTTTTGAATTGGGAGTTTCTTAAGTTAAATGGGCATTTATTTATGGAAAATATTTCATCCATAAATGGTGGATTCAAACCGTTGAATGTTTCTATCGTAAGATATTGTAAATTTTTCTCACGAGAAGATATTGGTTTATTCTTTATTAAAAGTCTCAATAAACTTAAAGGTATAATGAAACCTAAAAAAAAACAATATAAATACACCTCTAAAAAATGAAAAAAAAACATTTTCCTGAACATAATCTCTCCAAGGTGAAGTCAATATTCACATTATTTCTAAAAAACAGATATTGGCCATGTCTTAAGGTCTGAAATCTACCCTCTATGAAAAGTCTGACTAACAAGCAATACATTCTTAGGCCTTCGCTTTCTTGATTTCATTTCTATCTTGAATTCAGAGATGAAGAATAAATGGAAAATATTGATACACGCTTATGAGATTACTTTCTTAATGTTTCGACTCATTCACTGGATCTTTTTACATTAACAGTCCTGGCTCCTTTTTCATTGGCTTCGTAAAAAAAGGAACATAGAAGCTGCATAATCTAACTTATGATATAATTAGCAATATAATTTCAAAATTCCCTCCATATGAGCTCTCTATATACCAAAAAGCAGTTTAGCATTTTGAATATTCGCCTTAGTGTTTATGCTAACGCATGCAGTACATTTGTTTCTTGAAACGTTTTTTTAGAAACTCAAAACACTAGTTTGATCTATAACAGCAATGACTTAAATCACTTTGAAACAATCCTTATTGGAGAATCATCTAAAATTTATGCTAACTTCTTGCTGCATGTCGCCAAATATAACTCCCTACTCATACTTCCAGAGCAAAAGGAAAATCTTTGTCAAGTCAAACTGTATCTGAATGATAAAAAGAATACGACAAGATAACTGCAGTTGCCTAAATTTTAATTTTTACTTAACTTGGACACGAAAGGAAAGTATTCTTAAACTACATATCGAGTTTACTAAAATACCTTGAGTTCTCAACAAAATTCGCCTCTTCTTTCCCAATGAGACACCTATGGAATGTCTTCAGCTTATTTATTCAAATTCATTATTTTATGATTTGTTACCTTCAGGATCAAAACCAAAACAGTTTCTTTGGAGGGGTACAAAATGATTTTGCCGACAAAAGGGCTTTTCTCATTCACTCAAGGGTGTGAACATAAAAAAGATAATCTTGTATGCTGCCTTTATACGTTTCTATTTGAAAATTCATACTTTAGTGCCCTACTTTGAATACTCATCTGCTATAGAAATTTTAATACGTCACAATTGGTGCAAAATAAACAATTATACTAAAGGGTGAGACAAACAGGGTGTTTATGGGTACAGCGCCCTCAACACCCCTCTTTTGTGATTCTCCTGGTTAATTGGTAGCAATTTAAAGCAAAACTTTTTAACCTGTAATTAGGCAAACAACACGCAGTTAGAATAATCAGTTTTGTAAAGTTTACTTCTTCTCCAACTCTTTTTTTATGGTTGGTTATAGTTATTGTTAACAAAAACTGATCTGTTTGAAAAATATTTCAGGCAGAATATAAAAAAACATTGTTATGAAATCAGACAATCACTGTACAATAACTTTTCATTTCCACCGGTTGAAGCTAAATAAGAAAAATTTCCATAAAACTATCAAGGCTTGTTAATCTGAATTAACTTCCTCCTGCAATTAAGCAAATTTAGAAAAACAACCTTCTGTCAAGTAGCTTGATAATTAGTATTTGTTATTCTAAAATTATTTGATTTGAATTTTAGCATTATTCTAAATTTATAAATCATAATTTCCTAATTTTGTAAATCACCTCCAATTTTCGTTAAACTCATTTTCGTTAATTTTCTCTTTAACTTTTCCAACCTTAATCTTAAAACCATATCCTTTTTCATAATTTTTGTTGTATTTCAGTTCAATATTATTGCTTTATCACCTAAATAGCGGTTTATGGCTATAAGTAATTCTTCTTCAATAACTTTTGACTTAAAGTTGCAATTGTCAATCTTTCTGTAAATTATAATTCTTGTTTAACATGAAACAGTTAGTTTTTATAATATTTGATAGTGCTGTGAATATTTGTCAATAAAATATATTATTTTGAATTTGATTTTGAATAATGCCGAATACTGTCGAATCATTACCTACTGCAAATGACATTTTTCCACTGTTTGACAATCTTAGACTGTACAATTCCTATCTTCCATCATAATTTTTCATTCATACCTTTTCAAGGACATTAAATCAAACCTTGTTCTCTTAAGAAAAATATTGATTTTGCCATGAGTTAAATCTTATACTCAAATAAACTGGATTTAAAGAACTCGTTTTGAGTATCAGATGTGAATTAAAGCTTGATTAAATGAAATTTAGTCACGTTTGATATATGACAGGGTACCCATTTTCGGTGCTCCTTGGGTATCTGGCACAGATTGCACGATTGAGGATTTTGTGCTTATTGGTAGCAGTGCTCGAGCAAGTAGTACATTCTGTCTTTTATACGGCCAAAGAAACAAGCATGAAAATGTGCATTAGCCCTGGGTATATAAACTGTATATTGGCATAGCCTCTTTCTCACATGTTGCGAGACAACCTGAAGTTGAACTGTGGAGAGCAAAGGCTTTTTTTTGCGAATTAAATCAAATAGTTATACAAAAGTGGAGAGCTTAAAGCATTGTGTGACCATGCCCAGTAAACTCTTTTTGCAAGAAAACCTTTTCTTGTTAATTATCGAACAAAGACTTTAAATAAGGCTAAAAGATTGGCATGTATCATATAAAAATGTAAGTTTAATTTTACTGAGACACAAATAGAATTAACCAGATAATGCATTTTTCATTCGTCCAACGTGTATTAATGACAATTTCAGCCATCGATTCTCAAAAATACCCTCTTCTGGGTGGTGATAAAAATTCTGTCCTTGCGATTTCCCTTCATTGCTAATCTTTGAATATCGTCTGATTTCTCTGTAACCAAATGACAAGTGATATTGGCTACCAGTCTAATTAAGCCACCTACAGAGGACCACCTGAAAAGTGATGACCAAAGTTGATGGAGGTCTCACTGTTAAGAAAGATAATAGTTTTTTTATTTCTTAGTTTATGAAATAGGAAATAGCAGTTTTAGTTTTTGTAGTGTATTTTAGTTATGCCCCTTCGACAGACTATTGGCTATTATTCCCCTTCTTAAAAAAACAAATGCTTTAGCCCCCGGTTGAAGACCTTTATGAAAAATGCTTAGAAAGTGTTGCTAAGGCTTAGAAAGAGAACAATTTCGATAAACATTTTCCTTATTCCTTTTTCATTGAATTAGCAAAGGAAAAATTTTGAAAAGGTAAGATAGTAAGTTAGTTTTCAAAATTTTCAGCTCTGATCAAATGGAGCCAAATTTTCTTTTATTGAACCTACTTGACAAAAGTTTGCCCTTTTAGAGAAGGCTTTCCGTTGCTTTTTTCTGATTGATTGAGGTATTCATCAAGTTGAGGATTAGGTAGAATATAGTAGGAAGGGTAGTGAATAATAGGTAAGGTAGTCCAAACATTTCATATCTCCAAAAATTATCCTCCTCCTTTTAATAACCAAATTTCAATTAATGGTACATGATTTAGTAAATTTACAGGGATTTTACACGGATTGAGTAAATGGAAAATTACAGAGGCATTTATAAAAATCTAAGATTATTTTTCCTTCTACCTATTTTCCTTTTTTTCAATAGTCAATGTTCCTTAGAGGTTTTTCAAAAGTTTTGAAGCGCTTTTTTTAGCAACACAAAAAGTTTGCACGAAATTGCGTAGAATATTACAACCAGTTTGTCACAAGGAGTTTTTCCTATTTTCTATGTTAGTTTCCAATAGATTTTCTAAAAGAACAATATCCAATGTAACTTTAAAAGAAGTACGTTTGAGTAGCTTAATGGAGGGGACGAGGGTTCTCAGAAAATATTGAATCCCCCAAGGGGAGTTCTCAAAATATTGACCCCCTCCAATGTTTCTCATTCAAAAAGAAATAAACCAAGGCATTTCAATCCAGAACTAAAATCAACAATTTGTACACTTTCTTATATCTTTGTTCAAGTTTTGAGGTTAGAGAAAATCTAACTGGCACCGAATATGTCTTTCCCATAAAGTATAATGTCGACTTATCGTCTTTCACTCCACCTTCCCGCCATTCTTACATTTACAATTGAAAACTCATCTCCAATTAATTAGCTAATTCTTTAGCAAAACATTTTATTAGATATGAAAGGTCGGGTCCTGTCAATCTTGTAACCATAATCAAATTTATCAAGGATGACAAAGTTTCATTTTAAGGGCGGACGTTTTCCAAAATGCCGGCACCTGTCCTTGGATCGTCAAACTTCAATGAACACATGAAGCGCTCACGAATATTTTGAAACAAACTGCCCACCCAGTTATCATTCTTCGACCGCAAGTTCTTTTCCCATCAAATATAAAAGATAATCCTATAATCCCCCCCGTTCGGTGCCCAAACCTTTTTCTGAATGGTCTTAGTTGGATAATTGTCAGGGGTCAACTTTTTTGATGGATAAATAACTACTAAACTGTGATGCACATCATCCAAGTTAGTTGTAAAGCGTAAGCCAGTATCCAGGTCAGCTAGGCGAAAAAAAGAACAGGCAATCGCATACTGATATAACAGTTAACTATTTTGACATATCAGCATAGTCATGAACACATATTTTGATCAAAAATCTTTTGGAAGCGAAAGCATAAATTCTAAAGACTTTCAGAAGAATGAAATCAAGATAGAAGAGGCAAGCCCGTCACCCGATGAGAATAACAGCAACCAAGAAAACATCAAAGGGTCTTCTGATGGCGACAAAGATTCCAGCGCAAAGCCACCGTTTTCCTATGTTGCTCTGATAGCAATGGCAATCAAGGATTCAAAAGCAAAAAGATTGACTTTGAGTGAAATTTATCAATACATTATAAACAAATTTCCGTTTTACGAGAAGAACAAGAAAGGATGGCAGAATTCAATCAGACACAATCTCTCGCTGAACGAGTGCTTTTTGAAGATTCCAAGAGAAGGCGGTGGGGAAAGAAAGGGCAATTACTGGGCTCTCGATCCAGCATGTGAGTATATGTTTGAAGACGGTAATTATCGCAGAAGACGTCGTATGAAGCGACCGTACAGAACGGCATCTCATTATCCGTTCCAAAATGGTTACTATTATTCCGATCCACGGTATCTCAACTACATGAATCATTTCAATGGCTGGTCAATGCCAGATCAGTACTCCCCTTCAACTGAAAATGCTGCATTCAGTGGTGGCCAAGCATTAACACTCCCACTCAGTTCTTGTACACCGACCTCAAGTGCACAAAGTCAAGATTTCTCAAGTTATCAGACAACTTCGTATGTACATGGCTCTCCTGGTGAAGAGCAACAGAACTCTCCGCCTTATAATTCTTCATACTATCATCAACAGCAAAGCAGCTCTGGCCAATATCACCAATACAGTATTACATCATATCCATACTGCAAGAGTACTCAACAAGATGGGTCTCTTTGGAACAATATAGAAAATAATCGGTTATATGAAGCAGGTTTTACTGCTGTCATGTAAGTGTAAATAAAGTTAAATCAATTTCATTAACCTGTACCTAATATTTAAGTGCAATTTGTTTTGTATAAAACAGACATTATTATAAATCCAGCTCCTAATATGACAAAGAATCAGCCACAGTCCTTAAAAACTGAGCAAAATTCATTGTTTGGGTTGGTATGGAAGTAATTTCTAGCAATTTGGTCACATTTCTGATTCGATGGCTCTATATATAGTAGAAAATTCTCTTTGTAACTGCTTCTGTTGTATCCTATATAATTTTAATTTTTTGTCCAGTTCACTTTAAAGACATTGCAAGATATCTCGTTATTATGTGTTTTGGGCTATTTTCCTACCAAAAGAGTAGCTCTTTGGTACCCAAGAAACACATAACAAAACTTCAAGTGCCTTAATCAACAATAGAATGAATGCATTGAGTATTAATTCTAATCTTATTTTTTTAAAATGAGTGTAGTAAATAAACATATCCGAATTTATATTTCTGAAAGTATAAAATGCTATTTGTCATAATGTTTTGTTTATTGTTCCTTTTGAAAATTAATTGTTTGTAGAATAAAAATTAAGTATCCTTTTTGAACTATACTGTATATACATCATTTGTTAACATATGAAAACTTATGCAAAACGTTTTTTCGAATGAATACAGATTTATCTATGTATTCTTTGTAGGAATTTGTTACTTAAATTTATCTATTGTAATTTTTCCTCAGCTTCTTTTTTGGCTTGCAGAATTATCATGTCAGCAGAGAACCGATCAAGTCCATATGCTTTTCAATTTCTCAATTTGTTTAAATTAAACAGCTTAAAAAGGACTGCTTTATTTATAGTTAATTTCATTTGAATGAATTCCCTTGTAAAACTTACTCGCCACTTACTGAATTGTATAAATATAGAATACTATCAGATTTTTGGAGTTTTCCTTTCTATAAGCAGATTTCTGATATGTTAGCATCTTGTGGAGAAATATTTAAAAATTCTTTGATGGAAAGTGTCCTTGAAAGTGTTGTTTTTTTCTAAGATTAATTTCACTGGCAGGGAGAGAACATTTTGTGTTCTTTTTAAAACTTAAACCGCAACAAAGACAAATTCAAAAAAGGAAAATACAATAAAATTGAATCGTAAATTTCAACAACCATTGTTTAAAGATTTGTTTTCTTTGATTTCTTTGTTGAAAAAATTGATTAGACAGGTAATTGTATTTGGATTCCTAAATTCATTCATTCATTCTATTTGACTGACGAAGAATTAGTTTTTGGTATATATCTGTTTTCACGGATAGGCACTGAATGGGTTTGACAATTTTCTTTAAATTTTACCGATACAGTACAATACAAAGCAAATTATATTTATTGCTAAAGGAAATTATCAATGTATTCTCATATGAAGCATCTAACTTGAGGCTATCCAAAGTGATTTTTGGGGTAATTTCTTTAAGTCGAGAATCGGGAATCGAAAAATTTTTGTGAGCGGAATGCGGGAATCGATAACAAAGGGATTCGGGAATTAAAGGTCGGAAATCAGTAATCGGGCTCAAAACGTAGCGTGAATTAGGGAATCGGGAGATTTATTGGGAACACTCTAACTAAGTCAATGGAAAAGAGCAGATTAAAACAAATCTGATTCCTATAACTGGGTTGCTTTTTAACCGCAGTTCATTACTTTAAATGCAAAAATTTAGGTGCAACAGTGAGTGAAAAACAAATGAACTATTTGTGATAAGCAGAAATGTTTGCCGCTAATACGTTCAATTAATGAAATTAATTGAAATTAAGACATGCAATGATAAGTTAACAAACATTAAACAGGAAATAAATAACATATAGGAAATATAAATGTAATGGTCGTTAAAGGAACATGTCGAAGTTTCGTTTCTTAGCCTAAAAAGCAATTTACTAAGAACAAGTTTCTTCAAAACCTAGGAATTCTTCAAACATTTTTTCATATTTTTATGCTATTTACTGCTTATGTTTAAAACAATTGATAGCCTGACTCGAGTCAAATTCACCTATGTAGAAAGCTGTCTATCTCAAAGCAAAACAAAAGTTCTAATGTTGTCGATATTTATGCTAAAGAGTTAGACTTTTATTCTAGTCTTATAAAGCTTTATTCACTATTACATATTACTTATTTGTCTCATTAGATGGGCTAGGAATGCAGTTGCAGAGGCCTTTTTAGTGTGCAAAGTATAGCCTTTGTTTAGAGATTGACCCGGCTTCCGTAATGTAGTGCCATTGTCACAAAAATGCACTGGCATTTTCCGGTAGAATCTCCTGCATGCAATATACTTTGCAATGCTGCAAACCAAATTATTTCTAAATTTCACCGTCAATAAAATCACCGCTTTTGCCAAAATATTACTTGGGAGCAAAAATAATCAAATGCAGCTTATCTCGGTACCTTTGAAGGTTAAATAATTGAAAGATACACGCAAAAAGGATTTTATTTATTTCCTGAATACAGTAGAAGCATTGAAGGTTTGAGCAAATCAAGCATTCCATATGCACAAAATGGCCTTTGAATTGAATCGTGCAGTATTTATTAAAACTATCCAGTGATGCCATGATGTCATTTTGAGTTAAAAATCACATAAATTTTGTTACGAAAGTAGCTATCGAGTGTTTCATTGTGTCATTTTTTTCATTAATAAAATATCTTTCTAGTCTTCTTTCCATTTTGTAGCATTCTGTTTCAATTTTCTTTCTATTTCTTTCTATTTCAAACGCTATTTTCGAGCAGCAGTTGAGAATATAGCGACACCACTACAAAATTCAAATGTACTATCAGCAATTTTAATAGCATCAGAATTTTAATGTACTATCAAAGATGAATTAAGGAAACATAAAGAAGTCTTTTGTACCACAAATCAATCAAAAGAGATCCAATATTACGGAACTTTAAGAACTGGGCCTAGAGCTAGGTTCCTTATATAATAAAAAGCGTGTACTCTAATAAATTTTGACACTTCACAGCTCATTTAAGCAGTTGGTATTGTGTTGAATCTTTTTTCGCTAAAAATTCCTTCTTTTAAAAGATGCCAATACTTATTCAATGAGTTCAAAGAATCAGCGAATAGCTCTGGATGCTGGAATGAAGTCTCAGGAAGCAAAAGTTGCTATTTCACAATGTCGTTTCCTCTTTCTAACTGTTTCCTTCTTTAGCTTTGTTTCATTGCACATATTCTTTTCGAGTCTGATGTGCAGTCCTGATACACTTGTCTTCCAAAAAGACAATAGACTATTCCCATCCAATTCATTAGCCTTGTGACAGATGACAACAATGAATGTCAAAGCTGCGCAAAGTTCATCTAAAAGAGAAAATATAATCTTTTGAAAATGTCCATACTAGAGACGTTATATGTAAATTTTTTAAAAATGTCCCTTGCTTAGAATATATAGTAAGAAATATCTACAATATTTGCCCGTTGAAATCTACATAATTGTTTGTTAAAGAATTTACCGTTAGAGTCTATTATTCAGCTTCAAAATGCTCGAGAATTATTCTTGTCTTTATTCTTGGAAAGTCTATTTTCAAAAGTCTTAACAGCTGAAAGAACTCTCATGTTGCTTATAATAACTACATAGAAATCTGTACCCCCGTCAGATGAGATTGCATTTCGTAGTTCATCGACATTAGTTTGGTGGTTAATTAGAGTGAGCCATCAAGCATGTTTGATTTTCAATACACACAAAAACTAATCAATTTATAACGTTTAGGGGGATAGATAACTTCTTGACGTACAGCCACGCATAGTCTGGACCTCCATGCTAGTGGGTCTATTGATTACCAACTACAAATTAATGGTAATTCAAATTAAAGTGAGACAAATCAAATTCAAAATGGTATCCGTATTTGAGGTTTTAAAGTAGGCTAAGATGTAATATTGATCTGGATATAAAGACTTCTTTTATTTCAAGGCATGAGTAATGATGCTTTTGCTCAAGAAGATATAATGATTTAGAGCGAGAAAAATAGTCTGAAAAAGGACAAAACCACGCTCGTTGGGACTTTAAGGAATGAGCAATGATGTTAACTGTTGAATGTCGAGAGAACCAGCTGTTTTTGAAACATTACTTTTTGTGTACATAGGAGATATAGTGTTAAAAAATCTTATTGTTTAAAAATTGTTTTAGTATTTTTTTAAAGTCCCTGCTAAATATCTTGAATCATTGACGTCAGTGGCCGGTTAATCAAATTTTATTTCAGAGAAAGGGGATGGCTGAATTCCAGCCAATTATTTCAAGGAAAAAAATGAAATTTCACGTTACAATTGCATACTTGAAAAAGAAGATAAATTGACTGTTATTAAAGAAGACAAGACCATTACTTTATTTGCAGTAAGACCCAAAGCAATCATTCAAAGACTGACATCATGTGAGAAAAATGGCCTGTGTCTTTCCAGTTTAACTCCTTTAGAGTTTCATTGTTGGAATGGTGTCTATGTAAGTACTCACAAATGGCAATTGATCCAACAGTTATACCTAGCACTTTCTACCGTGGGTAAAAATCAAGCCTCATTCTATTTGTTTTTTTATCAGTTTTATGAATAAAATTCGCGATTGCTAATGGCTTTTTGGGAGATGTCGTCACAAAATATACCGTTATACTTATTTGGAATTTAAGTTAGGGCTAATCAGCGCCTTTATCAAAAGACTTTCTTGAAAATATTTGGTTTGAATGCATTCTTTGAATACTAAACTAAATAAAATTAACTCTTTATCTTCTTCTTTCCATAGTCCGTTCTCTTTTCGTATAACTTTTATCTGCATAAACTGCCATTTTAATTGCCATTTAAGTTTTCTCTGACGTTCAAACTCTTAATGGTATTCATACTGTCGGCGTATGCACTGACTGTTGTCTGCATCCACAGCTTTCGCTCGTAGACGAAAGGTCAATATCGATGACCGTTGATAAGGATATTCCCACGTTAGCCGATTGGCCCTACGCAAACCGTTTCTATTCGCAACTGTTCACATTGATTGCATCATTTGATTGGGACAATAATGCGGTGAACTTATCTAGCGGTATCATAGAATATGGTTGCAAAGCCGCCATTATCAGCAGTTTACTCAGCAACTCCTTTTTGCTGAGATTTCTTTCTCTTGAGTAAATGGTTATTTTGGATAGCTTTCCCACACTTTTTAAATTACGGTTAGAATCTAAAGAAACCAAACATGAAACGATTTAGGACATGTAAACAACTATACGATCTAGGCAGCTCACATGCTGATGGAACGCGCTCGTTTGTCATCATGTCATATAGGTCATCATATGTTTTGGTATTTTACATTGAAACTTGCGCTTGGATACTACATATATCAATAAAATATTTAGAAGGGAAGATGTTTTCCTAATAAAGCTCATATCTGTATTCCATCAATTTGGTTTACAAATAACCACTTAATTAAACCAAAGATTCTTAGAAAGAGGCGCTCAATTCAAAATGAGGTCGCGTGTGAACTCTCTGTCTTTATCGTCTACCCTTGGCGGTGTTTGGTAAAGTAAACAAAATTTTCCGCATGGAATAGGCAGATTAAAAAAATATCCCAAACTGGCTGTATATTTCATATTGACTGTAAAGAGAACCATAAGCTTGAGAAGGAACAAAACTCAAAAAAGTGAAGTTAGTGACAGAAAATTGTTTGAAAGCTGAGTTTTGTTGCTAAATATTCCACAATGTTTTCAAAATGGGTAGATAAAATTAATATTTCCCTCTCTTAGTAAGCCTAATTTCGTTTATACTATAGTTATAATCGATATTGGCCAGGAACTGTTATTCTAATATATCACCAACTACTGACAATATTCCTCTCTAAAAGTCATCTCGTTCAAACTGCATTAGTTTCTCCACTTATTGTCTGCGTATCAAACCAGTTACCTTCAACACTGCAATCAGGCACTCTTACGAATTGGCTTCTTCTCCACGGTATAGTAACAAAAGGCTAGCATTTTAGTAATGTGAAAAGGTTGAGACAAGCACAGTGACGTTTTTCGAGCCTTTTTCCTTAAAACAGCTTTACAAATAAATATTCAGTAAAAAGGGAGATGCCCCTCTCACGAACTAACCCCCTTTCTTTCATGGCACCTATAATGTATTTTCATGACTCCTTTATACTTCATGGCAGCAAATATTTTGCTTATCACCAGCAACATGATAAAAAAGAGACGAGAGTTCTGAATTAGGGTTCGGATCAAAGCTCAAAGCAATTTTTAAAGCAAAATCGTGTTCTCTGTAGGCGTTGTTTAACTCTTGTGAAATGTGGTCCCAAAAATTCAAACACTTAATCCTATCCATCGCAGTCCTAGAATTATTTTGCCAGTCGCATTTGCCTAAATGCCAAGGGCTAATGCTAAAATAAACACACCCCTTTTCTCTAGTTTACCCTTTGAGAACCTGCCGTCTCCCACTTCTCTGCTATATCATCAGTCCAGAAACCTTTGCACAAAAGTTCCTATACTCACGCATTTTTCACGAATACGTAATCCATGGATAAGATAATATTGTTTAAGAAGATGATCCTCGAAGAACTCCTTTTAGCAACGCATAAGAAAGCCGAGTCATGATGTGTAACTATGTTACTTTACGGTTAATGATATTTAAGTACATTTTAAAGCACGAAAACCTGAAAGGATCCGCTACCGCCCTTGTTAAGCTAGTTACACTATGTCAGAGTACCAACTTGGTAATGTTAAAGCATTCATCGCAATATGAAAGACTATTGACAATACCAGATTTACAAAATCCAAATCCCTTGAGAAGATTTTTCAAGGTATTTACTGTTAAGATAAACATTGCCAGTCTATTAATAGCGTATATCTAAGGACAATCGAGTACTCTTAGTCTCAGAAAGAGTTTTGTAGTAGTTTTAAAGTTCAAGATCGACTTGAGTGGGAACAGCAAAACATTAAGTTTCAGTTGCTTGATTTCGATATAGAGATGTCATGACAAAACTGAATGTGATCAAGCACTTTTAAAAAGCCTCTCAATGACATTTACAGTTTATTCCAACCAAATAGAACTAAGTAGGTTAAAGTCAGTAGTGTGGAGCCAAAAAATGTAGGGGGGGGGGGGGCATAGAGCTTTCTCTTTGTTGTTAACAAAATGAACGTTTCAGTTGTTTTCATTTGCAGGGATCCTCAATATCAAATTTCTCTACCTTTCCATTTTTTCTAGGGTAAAATCATTTTCCAATTTATACCTGTTACTTGAATAAAAGAATCTAAAAAATAAAGAATGACATGAATGCAAATGTTAAAAAGTAGTGTCGGTCCAATCAACAATTTTATCCTGGCAGAAATTAGCCATGATAATTTAGAATTATCCAGAAAAAGAGGAAGGGGTGTAGCCCCCTTTGAAAAGTAGAAGAAGGGCTAGAACCCCTTGAGTCCTCTGAGCACCCTGACCCTCCCTGAGCCTCCTGAGCCCCCTTGAGCCTTCTTAGCCCCACTCTTCTACAGCCCTTGTTAAAGGCCGAAGGTTCTTTTGCATTGAATATCATCTATAATGACATGAATGACTCGATCATCATATAAAATGTAAGCAAGAAGTCGACCTAGGCCTATTTGCAGGAAGCAAATTTTGGTAAAATAGGTTCGTCGAAAATGGTAGGGAAAAGGGTTTTTTTTTCAGTCCATTCCTTTGGCAGATTGGGTGATTTTAGTATGCCTATGCATCAGTGGCAAAATTCAGTCTCGATGACTCGATGACAACGTAGGCTCATTGCTGATACAATAAATTTTTTCTCTTCAAACATTCATTTCCTAGTGCGACAAATTCTATAGGGTGTAAGGGAGTGATTCTTGCCCTATATCTTGTATAAGAGCATCTTTACTGAGCATAAGAATTAAACAAGTTGTCATTTGGCCAACATTTTAGTAATGTATTGCCAATTTTATTCCTTCTCCTGTGATCTTAAAAATCTACTTCTGTAGGTATCGCCAAATTTTCTTATTGGTGGATAATGCCTTATTTTTACAAGGGGAATTGAAGAAAATATTTCTCTATATCAACATCGGTTTGAAAAGCTTTTAGCTATAAATTTTACTAGGATGAGTCAAGTTAAATTCAAAGGCAATAAAACATGCCTTAAAGGAGGAAAAAGATACAAAAATGCTCCTTCCTAATTCAATGGTATTGTTTACATTCAAATTAGAAAGAATAAGGATTTAATAAGAAAAGTTTGTTTCATTGTGCTCTTCTATGTACTAATTGAAAAAACTGACAACAAAATCCATGGATTTTCAATGAAGACCAAACTGTCAGGGATATCCTCTCCGTTTAAGCATGCTCATAAAGCAGACATATGAATTTTGCAAGACTTTTTAGGAACAAAAGAAAGCATTATTCACAACCGATAGTCAATGCAACCGAATAAATGTGACGAGTGCTGTAGTTTATTCAATCATCTATACAAACATGTCCTATAAAAAAATTCCCATTGAGAATAAATAAAGTTTTCCTGAATATGTCATGGACAAGCCATATTTTCAAAAAAGGGTTTTTGCAAAGCAAGTCTTGACTTTAGTTTCGTGACGATTCGCCTCAAGTCATCAAGAACTTTTTAGCTTGGGTGCTATGGAAGGGTTTTGGAGGGCTCACTTGTTAATTTTCAGAGGGATTTCGGGGAGCTCTGCCTGCGCAAAAAAGCTTGCACAGGTTTGGCTGGAAAGATTCTGTATTCCCCAATCTTTATTGCGCTAAAGAACATACGTGAATGAATAATTTCATGTCAATCTTTTGTGTCCGTCAATAATTTTGTACAGCAGAAAATGTTTTGCACAAAGCAAGTATATTGAGTGTGGTCAAGGGTGTGTGGCCATGGGTGTGTGGCCACGGGTGTGTGGCCATGGGTGTGTGGCCACGGGTGTATGTCCATGGGTGTATGTCCATGGGTGTGTGACCACGGGTGTGGCTTCTTGAAAATGGTTGAAGCAAAGCTCCCTCACCCAGCTTTTGGCTGAAATCGGTCAAGTAGATTTTCACAGCAAAAATCTTCTGCTCTATGACGCACAATATACTTTTTTAAAAATAATGTTCGATGAATTCTCAAAGTTTCTTATAAAAAGTGTATCTAGGTCACAGGACTTCAAATCCAACTATTTTACATGTTATTTATTTTGTTCATGAGCAAAGATTTGCAGATAGTAAAATTAATCTCATTGTTGCTTGTGTATTGTACAGCTTTCACAATTATTCAATTATTTAAGGCATCAAGATAAATCAAATTAATATCATTACTTAGATGTTTGCTATAGTAATAATTAATCTTTATTTTGTCAATGAATGACCAATTTGAACGTGATGACTCTAATACTCTTTCAATCTATTTCCAAATAAAAATTGTCGCAGGTCAAATTGTTTATTGTGGGAATTATTTCAAAAAAGAAAATAACAAAAATAGCTTTGTGGGAATATGATATAGAAAGCAAACAAAGAGGATGGCCTCTTAACTGTCGTATTCGAAACAAGCGCATATCATTGGAAGAAACTTACAATTGCTTTGGGTCAAGTGCAAAAATAGAGTTAAATCTCTTGAGCCTATTTCATGTTACTTCCTGTTCTTTGAAAAAAGCTGAATGATACTTGAAATTGCTACTTGACTTCATGAGATTTTTCAAGCCGTTAGTCCACAATATCTTCACTGTGGAATGCATCTAGAAAAGCCTGGTCTCCATAGGCTTGAGAAAATGTTATCCATTGTTGGACCTTCAAATGTCACAGCGTCAGTAAAAAAGATTGGATTTAGCTTATTCTGCTCGTTTCTTCTATGAGATGAAACAAATCAAATTCACGAGGCTCGAATCTGCCAAATTTTCCTTTGAATAATGGAAACAACAAAACTGGTGTCAAATTGTTTTAATTTTTGAGGCCTTGAAAGAAAAAAGATAGAATCAAAATTTAAGAAGTGAAAAAGTTTCAGCTGTAAAATGCTTCACCTAAATGGTTGCAGGTCGAGAAACAAATGCACAGGAAAGAATTTCGATTATTAGAATGTAAGTCTTTCTGGCTTAGTTTGTTCTGTCAAGGAGCCCAAACGTCAGAATGAGGGTCCGAAAGAATACGATGGAAAATATATACCCAGTTGTGGATCGAAATAGGCACTTTCTGATCAGTGGCGGATTTAAGGGGGGGGGGGCAACTAGGGGCAGTTGCCCCTCCTTCACCGAGTTGAAGAAAGTCTGGCGCCCCTTTTTTGGAAATTGTGCGCCTCTTTAGATGAATGAGAATCAGGAGTAAAAGTTTCTGAGACTTTCAGGTAAATTTACTTCAAGGATTTCCTCAAAGTATACAACAGTTATTGTGAAAAATGTCCTTACAAAGTGAATACAGCGTACATTCGTCATCAATTTCTGAAAGTTTTTCAGCGCCCCCATTACCAACTGCCCCTCCTTCAAATTTTCTCTGGATCCGCCCCTGTTTCTGATATTCTGAACAATTAACAATAACAAAAAAAATTCTGAAATGTTATACTCTGAGGACGAAACAGATGAAAAAGCTTTAATTAATAGTATGTTGTGAAATGTTTGCTTTTTTCGAAGCCATTTTCAAGTTCTGTACCGCAAAAAATGCCATAAAGCCATTGGACGACTTTTTGTTTCACATAAAGGAATCGAAAAAAGGCCTTTATAGAAAAAATTCCTCCAATAGAGTAAAGAAATAGGCGGAAATATAAGAAAAGATACAATAATATGGAAGAGGTTTGGTTTTCAAAGATTGTATGGTAATGTACCACTGACCATTGAGCAATGCCGTCGAGGAGCTTTGCAGGTTGTAGCCTCCATACCATGTTTTTGTTGATGAGGCGGGAGAATGGCAGGAAAATGGTGGGCGAAGTCCTATGTGAGCTTGAGCATAAATGGCTTGAAAGTAGAACATGGTTGCGGAACTCTGGCATTGAAACTTCCAGGTATGAGGTAAGGATCAAGATTTTTGTTGAAAACTGTGTTTGTAATGTTTTTGGAATTTTAGAAGATGCTTATAAACAGGCTGCATTTTGTCCAGGGTGCATTCCATGTCAACTATACGCCGAAGGTCCACCGGGGCATTTGTTTAGGTACGCTAAAAATATCAAAGCAGTTGAGTTAGTAAAGCTGTTAACATTGTTGTGCCAGACAAATAAAGCTGATTACCAGAGAAAAAGGTGGTGTATGAGTCATTATTTTACGTTAACTATGTACATGGCTTCTTGTTTAGCATGCCAACTAGCGGAAATTTTAAGTACTCCAAAATTTTTTATTGGTTTGCACGCCGAACGCCAAAAAGTACCTGTTCAGTTCAGTTCAGTTCAGTTCAGTTCATATATAATTTTACATTCCACTACATAAAAATTTTGTCAAAACATTAAAATAAACTATAGGCTACAAGTTACAATAACAAGTTTAAAGACTAAACATAACAACAGAAAAATTAGAAAATTTGCACGAAGAGGAAATTTTGAGGAGGAGGACTCTCAGTAGCAAAGCTAATCGAGGAGAGGCCACCCCCTTAATAGGAAAATTTTAGTTAATGAATATAACTTAGAAACATTTTGAGGAAAATATTGACGATTACTATCTATAATCTGCGACAATAATTATTTTCAAAAAGTAAGGCTTTGAGTCTCTGAAGAAAGATATGAACAGATGGTGATCCACTGTGATGTATAGATCTGAGACCATATGGCATTTTTTTGAGTTAAAAATATATTGTCCTTGCGAGCCTGTCGTGTACCATATTGATGAATGGGCACCACAGATTTAAACAAGTTGTGGAAGCAAGTAGGGGAGATTTTATTGACAGATTCATACACAAAAGTCAGAAGTTGAAGTTGAAAGAGATCATGCAGTTTTATAATTTTCAAACCGGAGAAGATAGTACGTACGACCTGGTTGTATGCCGAAGATCTTCTGGCCTAAGTACATGGAATGCACTCTGACATTTTGTACATAGTTTAGCAAGACATCCATCTCCATTATGCATCACTGATGATCAGAAACATTTATCACCTTCTATGAGGTTTCGATACAGTTTGAACATTTATTGAACAAAAGGCCACAATAAAATCATGTACTGTTGCTGGCAAGTATTAACTCTTACGTGAATAGGAATATTCAATTTCAAATCAAAATCGATGCCAGGTTTGTGTGTGATGAAGCGTCAAGGTGAAATTTCATTGGCACACTATAGTGTACTATGAAAAGTTCCAAAGGTGAATGGGGTGCTTGGTGGTTTAGTCCCCTTCTTAAAATTAAGATAGATTTTATGGGGGCCCAGCCCCTTTACAAGTGAGCACATGTTTACTTGGGCAAATTCTGTGGACAACTTTTTCTTAAACAGGGTATGATCTAAAATTAGTTCCAGCTTAAAATAGATGCAGCTTCACAGTTTGCTGACTTAGCATTTTCTTGGTAATTTTGCACCAATCTTAAACATTGGGCTTTGTACATAAAGGCATGGTTGTGCTAATTTACCAAAAATCTAGGCAATGAAATTTTGGTATATATGGTACAGAATGGGTGGGAAACTCAAAATAGTCTCAAATCCAACATATCATTGCAAAATGCTCAAGTTAAATTCCTGACATAAAACACTCTTCTTTACAATTATGTCAACCTTCCTTAATATTTCTCAATAATTTATCAAATTGGAATTTTATGATATGTTTGAAAATTGGTCAACTTTGCACAATTGAACTGCTTAGCAGTTGATGGTGGCTCCAAATCTGCTTGCAAAATTGAGTGATTTGTTTTTTTTCTGGCATAGTTACAATATTCTTTGTAGGGCAGCTAGGGCATTAGGTCTTTCACAGGGCTCAAATCCCATTGCATTCTGGTTTGACATAAATTGTTGCAAATTGATATTTTATGTCCCTGTTTTACATGAACTGATCCATATTTTTTTTAGAATATGCCAGCATAATGACCAATTAGGTTTTGGGGTCATTTCAGGCCAAATGGACTACTGCTATAATTCTGTCATTTTCAACTGTGCATAGGGAATAGACTAGCTGGACAAAGTGCAGTTATGAATATATTGAGCCAACTTGCTGTTGTCATACCTTATTCATACTAGAGCAAAAAACTTTCCAAAATTCTGTCTTCAATAAGATTTATACTCTCTTCTAAATCTTAGCTCTTTAAACTCTTGACATGAAAGTTAATAGAAAAGAATGCCAAAATACACTAAATTGCATTGCTATTCAAAGTTGCTCTTCAAAATCAAATAATACCAAATTGCGAAAAGTCAGAAAATAACAAAGATATTCCAGCTAGTACATATAATCTTAAGAACCAAAACATCTTAATCTTGAGAATACCAGGTAAATAAAGGCATATAACTACTGGTTTTGTTATTACTACAATGCTTTTGTCCATATTCTATAGTAACCTATTTTCCCCTGTTTTTAACCTATTTAGTCAAATTTGACAATCAGTAACATCACAATCAGTCAGATTTCTAGTCTCTTGACCAACTCTCCACCTCTTTCCTGATATCAATAAAGTTAAAACTTTTGATAAAAATGAACATGAAAAAGCTAAAGCCTGTCTTGAAGAGGTTAGCTCAACATGATATTAGATTCTGGACTCTCGTTACAAATAATTTGTTTGTATGATGTAATTCATTTCACTTTTTCATTTCAATTTTTAGTTCTTCATTGTTCATTGTTGGGTTAGCTTATCATGTGCTGTGATATAATTCTTATCAATATTTATCAATGTCATTCTTATTTAGAATCTTGAATTATGACCAAGCAGTTTTACCATTAGCTTATCTTCCATATTACATAAATAAATAAAATATTGTAGATACATGAAAATTGTTTTTAATACTTAAAATTGTAGATTTTGATTGAAGTAATTTGTATCATGCCCCCATCAAATCTAAGAAGCTGTAATGTATGAACAATTTTAAAGTTCGTTTTACAAAGAAAGTCTTTGATACAAAAAAAGGCACAATGTTTTACTTGAAAATTATTTTATCAGCTATCTTATCAGTACATTTAGCACCATTTTCCTTCTACTATACACATTGGGAGGCTACCATTCCTTTTTATAGATATAAAAAAGTGGTTTCCTTTATTACGGTATGATGCTTCATTAAATAAACATAAAGAGAATTTAAATATGAAAGTCAATACAACTTTCTGCAAAATTTTAGGAGTGCTGTTTTGTTTCCAAAACTCTAAAATCAGTCTCACTGTTATGATTATATACATTCATTGCAAGTATTTGAGACTTTTTTTCTCTTTCTTGTCATATGAAGTATGTTTTCAATTAAGGATTTTTTTGAATTTGAGATCACCTACCATTGCATTTAATACTTTGTTGCTATGTAAAAACGGAACAGTTAATAGATTTCGAAGTTGCTAAGAGAAACGAAATCGTGTTTAGTAAATATCAATGCAGATTTTTGAATACCATGCAGGCATGGTGGATTAGTGTCATGTGGTGGCAGCTTAAATTTCTAATAGCTATGTTGTTGATTTTTTTCTCTCTTAACATGAGTCAAATTGTCTCTTGATCGTTTAGTGTTAAATCGCGTACTTTTGATTAATTCCTTCTTTTTATTTTGCAAATATTTGATTTATCTACAGTCAGTGTTCATTGTTTTTGAAACAAGGCAGCATATATGCTTAAAATCTTATTCAAAAAAAAGGGAATATCAGCTTAGTACATAATTCTGATCAAACTTTTGAGTCAGATTTTTTACTCACACAATTGAGATATATTAATCAAACGCTTTTTTCATGATGATTACAATAACAACTTCAATCTCATGGGGTTTTTTTGCTATCTATTTTGATAAAATAAATTTTTTTCTAATTATGCCATCTTGTCTTTTGTATGAAGCAACTGTTTTGCGGGGAGCGTTTGTTTTCTTCAGTTTTCACAAGGTCAGGGTTTTGAGAACAACCGCTATTTAGTCCTCTTGACATTTGACCGGGTTAAGTATTTGTCCCGATGTTATATTTTTGGCTCTTATTGTCTCCAGAGATGCTACAGAGGTTTTGATTTTAACGACACTGGACGCTAGGATTTTTCCCACAGAAAGAAAGTTGTATGCTTAAGAAATATGCAAGGCTGACATGTCTCACGTGGAACTTTTTCCGTAGTCAATTTTGTAGTCTTATGTCATTGAAAAATTGTTTTTGTAAAATTTGAAAAATTCAAGATTTGTTTTCCTTCCTTGCCAGAAATCCCAATTTATCTTATGCTGTATTTCTTAATTACTCGCCCCCTTCCTGTTATAAAACCTTTTTGTAAATCAAAGTTCGCAATGAATGCAAGTGATTTGCATTTAGTGTTGGTCTCTGGGTTAATGTTAAGTCTAGATATAACACCTGGTAAAAATCTTGGGTCCCTTATTTAGCGAGAAAATCGAAAAATCAATCGGTCTTTCCCAGCCCTCCCTCCTTTTCATGACTCTCAAGCACCCTTTTTTGGCCTTTCAAGTGTAGCCTAAATTTTTAATAACTTAGGCGAAATGCAAAACTGTGCACCGGTTAGCGTGATAGTAGCGTCACCCTTCCTAAATACTAAGGAAAATTCCTTTTTCCTACCCAGTATTCAAAGCTGGCTGATAGAATTTTACCCACAGAAAAAGTTTATGGCTTTGAAGTTTTATGAAGTAAGTCGATCGACATAGGACAGTGCATCCACAAGTATTCTTGCCCTTTATTACGCGGAAACATAGATCCAGAACTGGTTACGGTTTTGGAAAGGTTTTTGATCTGGAAAAGCCTACCAGAGTAAAATCTGAAAGTTCTGGCACGTATATGCTCATGTTTCGTAATGGTAAAGCATTAACATAAACTGAAGGGAAATCCAGAGTAGCTCATTCTTCTATGCTTTTTATTTAGCACTTTTTTTGCTGTCTTGAGTAAGAAAAGATCATTATTTGCTTTCTAAAATTTATGAAAAGAATAAGCTTATTT